TTATAGCAGCCACCAAACTATCGGCCAGCTATCGATTAGATGATTGCTTGATGATATTTAGTTTATATTTTTGATTTTGACCAGTGTGTATTCAACAACTTCAAACTTTCTAGCTGCATCGTTTTTATCTTTGGGCAGCTACTAACGTTATGGTTTCCTTTTCTACAATAGGAACACCAGGTCTTTCGTTGAGGCTTTTGTCTAGTCGTTTTTATCATTCAGGATTCAACTTTTCTTCGAGATTGGTTACATATTGGCAAGGGGTAAATATTGTATTTTTTTTTTTTTTTTTTTTCACTTGTCTTCAATCCTTCAATATGGCTTACTAACACACTAACTCTTGTACTCACTATCCCTATAATCAAAACCATGGTTGGGCCTTCCTCTTGGACCTCAAACCAGAATTCAATCACCTCAACTATTTACGGTACGTTGGGAGAGTTGGAAACAACAACGGTAGTCCTCAGTAAGTTGAGAATCAACCAGTCAGGGTACGATACACTTTACGTTAGTCCCGTGTGCATGAATACAAGAGTGTTGATTGTACTACTTATGCCAGATGCCTCAACCCAGAATTGTACTATGTTGACTCAGGGTTGGCACTCTTCTTTTTGGGTAAGTTTTTTTTTTTTCTCTAACCTTGGCTTTCCACACTTGTAGATACTAACCAAAACTATGCTAGTTCTTCTCTTTTTCTACAGCCAGGATTACAGTACGTCGAATCGGGCTGAAATATCTTCCTTGGGTCTTACGTTTCAGGTCTTCTAATTTTGCAGCCCAGTTGCTTGAACCAATCTCTTCAAGATTCGTTGATGGGATATTGTACGATCTCACAGTCACCACCAAAATATTATGGGCAGAATAGCTGCGACTTGGTCGCTCCACAATCCAAAAACTTGTGTAACCTGTGGGTAGTAACCTTACGAAAGAGGTGTGTTAGATTTGGCTAGTGGGTGATTTAAGGCTTCGGTTACTCTGAGTCAGCAATGCTAGGTTATGTGAACAAGGGCTTAAGGAATGACAAATTATAACTTTAGGGTTCAAAAGTATTTTTGCGCAATCGTATTTTTATACAATGTTATAGGCAATGTATTTGATAACTTTGAGACTTGGTTATTAGTGAAGCAAACGAAACATAATTTTTCTTGAGCCGATAACCCTTTATTTATAATAAACTTTTGCTTAGTACTTATTATAATCATTATATCCCTTATATCTATTAAAATTATTAAATTGATTATAATGAATAAAACTATTATATCTCCTATAACTATTAAATTGGTTTTATCTATTATCTTCGTTATATTAGTTATCCGGGATATAGCTAATTTCTTCATTATATTTAATATATCACCGGCAACTCCTTTTTCGGTTAGCGATCATCAAAACCGGGATAACGTGAGTTGGCGCAGCGATTATTAGGTTACATTTTTCCGTCCTCACAGCATCTACTGATCAGTATGTTATATACTAGTAATCGATAGGTACAAAATCATATGAATGGTAGGTGTTCAGAAATTTTCTCCAGTATTACTATCAAAATTCACCACCACGTGATTAATGAAAAAATTCTTTAAGTTCATTTAGGGTTGGGTATGTTCTTATATTAAGATTTGGGTTTAGTTGATTATATAGTAAAATCGTTCAAGAAAAACTTTTTATTAGTACACGAAAGATGGTTTTCTATACAAACTTTTGAGAAATAATCAATTTTTGACAAAAGTAATGTTTGTTTTGAATTTTTCTGATTGTGTTATATTATACTAAATTGTTATCTATTATTGGCAAATAATCACGTGGAGGTAAATTTTTGATGGTGATACTGGGGTAGATGTGTCCAGAGATTTCTCTCTATTTTATAGGTATTGTGGCGGGGTCCCGTGATTAATATTAGCCAATTGGAAATGTAGTACAAGGTCACAGTATCACAGGTTCACAAATCAAGGATAATAATATTGATTATAAACTTAATCAGAGGTAATTTTATATCTAACTAGCATTATATTTGTAGGTAATTTCATAATTTTTAGTTTGAATTTTCAATTGACTGTTTAATGTATCTAGTATATAATCAGATGACCGCTTTATTGGGTGTACTATATAACCATAACTTTTTTTTTAAACCAATTTTTTAATAATACTATCCCTTAAACTGTAGGCTTTTCTAGGCAAATTTGCCTGGAAAATTATCATAAATATGGTTATGATCTATTTTTTTTAAATTTTAACATATTTAAATAAATTTTTTTTTGATAATA